CGTCATCATCGCCATCGTCGTCGTTTCTTTCCGATTCATCATGAGTGTCGAGATATTCGTCCGTGGACCATTCCTCGTCATCGATTGCCAAAACCTTAGTTTGGGTTTCTTCACTCTGATCGGTTTTCGCAGGCTTCTCTGGATTTGGATCAAGAAATTTGGTAATCGAGAGCATGGCCTCTAGCAGAATCCCGTCCGCCCCATGAGCCAACGAATAAGGTTCCACAGCCTGAAACTCTCCTTTTTGAGTGTATGAGGCACGTTCCAGAGCCCGAGAAAGAAAATCCAAAAGGGTGCTTCCAATACCGCCGGTCGAAAGGCGTTCAGTAAGAAAAGATCTTTTTTTAGCATTAAAGAGTGAATACGCGTCGACGGAAAGAGTACCAATTGAAAGCTTGGGTACAAGTTCAAAAGCTCGAGCGAGGATGGAGGCAAATCGCAAGATGGAAGGCTTCGTCCCAAAATGAGAGCTGGCATGCGCAGATTTTAAAGGCGCTGAAAGGGGGCTAGCACACTGTGATGCAAGCGGTGATGAAGGCAGAGCCTCATCAGTGGTGAAAATGGGAAGGTCAGTTGACTCGGGATTAAGCTCGGTCGCCATTTGATTGAGCAACAGGATGCCCGGGTCTTTATCAACACTACTTCGGTAGTCGATTGGCGCAGCAAGAAGAACGGAAAATAAAAAAATTATCCAACCGCACTCTAACACTTGAATGAGGAGCGATTCGTCTGCTTCTTCGCCATTGATCTTTAAATCTTTTCCAAGGTATCTAACAATGACGTTCGGATAAGCTTCGATCCTCTTAGTCAGGAAAAGTAGGAATTCCGCCCATCGAGGACTGGAGGGGTCCAAAACAGGGTATGAAAACAAAAGCTCACAAACGATCGCAAGGCCGGTGCATAATTTCCAACTCTGGTTTGTATGGCCAGTTTGGGCGGGTTCCATCGATTGCGAGTGTGCCGAAGAACCCACGCCACAATAGCTATTCGTGGGCTGTTCGTCTTGCATAATGAGATCAAGGATTTGATCGACAACTCTGGCATCAAATGAGTGTCGATCGAATAACTTTTTCTTGGCGGTGGCTAGCTGCTCACCGTTTACGGTGAGCTCTTTTTTCTGACTCTTCATGGGCTCTTTTTCTTGTGGTGCAGATGATTTGAGAAAAGAAAAGAAAGACGTGGGATCTCTCAGCACCGATCCAAGCCCGGCAACGAAATCTCCAGGTTCTGGGTCAAGCTTAAATACTTTGGAATCAGGAGCCGATCGAGGCTCATACAGAGCACGGGAGGAGAAATCTAAATGAACGGTGGCCTTTTCATGGGCGTTTTGCAGAGCCAGAAGAGGCCCCACCTCTGGACGCGCTTCGATGATGCCGCGAAGTATAAAGATGATCAGTGGCATAACGCCAGAGCCTGGGACCGTATGGTCCCCGGAAAGAGGAACAGGACGTTTTCCAGCACTGACACCGGCCTCGCGACAAGTAGGGAGCACAAGGGTTTGATTCCATAGCAGTTTCAGTAAAAGAGGAATTAGATTCTCACAATTCTTCCCATGCGTAGGAAGAACGAGGTTTAATAGCCTTAAGGACTGATAAAGAAGCTCTTGGGGAATAATAATGTCGCTAGTGGAGCTCTGCTCAAGCAGCTGGAAAAGCATTTCGTAAACTTCCATATCGGCAGGTTGATGCAGATCTTTTTGCTCAAAGCCGTCGTTGCTGGAAAGCTCACTGATCACAAACAGACGTTCGCTTTTTATGATCCATTCTAGAAGTGCAAGTATCCATGGCACGGCATGGTTCTCCTCATTGACCCAGAGCGGAACCATGTGCCCAAGAAGTGCCACAAGAGTGCCTTTCTGTGAAACAAGAGATGAAGGCATATTTAAAGGATGCCCAAGGACCTGAAGGCCCAGCACCAATAGAGAAAGTCGGCTCAAATTTAAATTCGCTCGCTCATCAAACGTACAGCCAACCAAATTTACAAAGGCATCGATTGACTCCACCGCCGAAGACATAATTGCTGCTGCTGCCTTCAGCACAAATTGAGCATCGTTTTGGGCACCATTGAGGACTAAAGAGGGGATAAGCAAGCTCCTTGACTTATCAAGCTGAAATCCTTTCGATGTGAATTTGAAGATTTGCAGAATAAGCAGTTGGGTACCACTGGGTACCCAACTAAAAAAGCCCGGACTGAGCAGGTCCGAAATAAGATTCTCAATTGCGGCAATGGTTGGCTGATTTTCCTCGCAAAGATTCTCACTCTTTGAGGAAAGAACAATCATAATTCCAGAAAGGAGCTCCAGTGCGTCCATCAGGGTACGGCCAATCAAGGAGACACGAGAACCAGACAGATCATCCAACAGAATTCCCTTCCAAATCGAGTCATTATCATAGGCCCCACTAATGGCGGCCTTTTCGGGAAACAAGAGTGGCCTACACGGCAATGATGGGCATTGGCTATCAAGAACGTTGAGTTGAGAAGTTACATAGTTGACACAGGAAACGACAGCAGGAACAACACTGTTCAGCGATATATGAAGCGATTTCATATTGAGTGGATCGTCAATCAATAAAACGCGTGAAATCCGCAACGTCAGGCAAAGATGGTATATTGAACAATCGCTTGCCGGCGACAAGGACGAGGCACAGGAAATGGCGTTTTGCAGAAAAATGATCTGTGATTCAATGAGAAGATGGTTGCATCCCTTTTGTGCGTCCTCTAAAAGCAGTCGAGACCAAATGGAAAGCGCGACGACAGACATCGATACCAGTTGTGAAGCCAAAAATAAAAAGGCGTTTAAATTGCGCTTGCATGAGACGCTTAGCGTCAAAGTAGAGCCTGCCACGACAGCAGATTGCATTCTTGCATCCCAATGAATTTGAATACATCGCTGGATGACACCTAATAACGCCGTTGCAAGCCCCTTTTCTGCCATCAAATTAAGGGTTCTACTCAATAGGTCTGGATGTAAAGTAGAAAGCAAAAGCCTCTCTGAAGTCCATAAGTCGCAAAAGGAGCGAAGAGCGATGCACAAATAAGACATTTTGATGAAGAGTTCCGAGTCTGCAAGGTGAGCTTGCGAATTAAATTGCGACACAAACGACTCGATGATGGGATACAAAGCCTCGGCCAGCAAGTCTGGACAGCTATTTGCAAAATGGCGCAGTAGGAAAGCAAATGAATAGGCTTCCGGACTCAGGCAAAAGTCGAATTCCGGGCAATGACCGCTTTTCTCATCAATTGAAAATACCGATTCAATCAAAATCGAAATGCCATTCATTTCTTTGCAGAACAGCTCCAAATGCGCTGCAGTTGTGATAAACAGCTCAATAATAATGGATAACGACTCTAGTGCGTCTGGCCATCCTGCTGAGGGATGTTCATGGTCAATCCCAGCAGCGTCCGTTTCACCGACACGACAGACATCTTGTGAAAGAGATGTTCTTGATGGGTAAAAACAATCAGAAATGGGACAAGGAATATCTTCCGCCAGCCCAATCAAGCTTGGCAAGCGACGAACAGCCAAAACAAGCGATCTGGCAATAATTGGTTTCAGCGATGGTTGATGGCGAGCGAGCTCATCCAACGCCTCCCCAAACGAATCCGGATCAATGAGAATTGGATTTGAACGGGCCGGGACGATTGCTTCTGAAATTCTCAGTTCCAACGATTCTGAATACTGCAACATGGCTGAAATTCCATTTTCATTTAAAGAGAAAGCCGTAAGTATGGCGGGAAGCGCTTCGGTTATCCTTGGCGATATCCCGGAATACGACAAGAGCAAAGAATCCAGGATCCTTTTAGTGATTTTAAATTCCTGGAAAATTGACAAAGAAGTGGGCTCAGAGTGGATCCAGGTAGTGAAAATTTCCATTGACAGCAAGCACCCCGAAATCAAATACTCGGATGAAAGAGCGATTTCGTCATCCAAGGAATTGTTTTCTCGTATCGAAATGGACGCAGCATGATCGATAATAGTGGCCAAAAGGGTTGGAAGAGGACCTTCTGGAAAAGACGTAATATCGTCTCTGGTTGGGAAGCGCTGCGTTACGATTAACACCAGTTTTAAAACCAATTTTAAAAGGCTATAAAGAGAGGCATCTGAAACGGTACCACTTAAAAGCTGCGATAATCGCGAAAATCCAGACAGCTCGCTGAAAGCGATAATAAACTGATCTGGAATCCTTTTAACAATCCGAATTAGTATCAAAAGGGAAGAAACTTTGGTGGGAAGCGGCGACGACAAATCTTCCACGCTACTGAAAAAGGCCTGCAATATACCCTCTGCTAAGAGTTTTTTTGCACCCGCCGGATAGGATGTAATGGATTTCAAAAGATGAAAATACTGTCGCGGATCTCGGAAAATCCTTTGCAATAGGGAAGAAGATAAGAGGGGAGAAGTGGAGGGAAGCTTTCCTTTAAGCTTAACTATCGCATTCAACAGAAGCAACGAAGGCGTTTCATCAATGGTGGAGACTAACACTGATTCCAGGGATCCTGGAAATCGAGACAGGATTTTCTTGCCCTTCTTGTCTCCCTTTAATTGCAAGTATGCAGACATGGCCAGTAAAGAGATCGGAGACAAATGAGCTTCATTGGGGCTCTGAAAAAAGGGTACCAACAAACGCTCCAGTCTAACAATCAAGTCTTTAGAGCCGGGAATAGAATGGGCCTTCCTAACATTAGAAGTGGCCGCCACGGCAACTAACAAGGCAGCTTGCTTTAGTTCTTCAGATGCGCCGGGATGATCTAGGATCTGGAGAATCCGATCGATTGAGGAATAAGCCACAGCTGAAATGGAAACCATGTCCAGAAGACTCTTTTCAAACTCCAAAATGGATATCAAAAGAAGAGAAGAAGAGGGGACCAAAAGATTTGCCAATATTTTGGACATCAAGATATCAAGGGCATTTAAAGCAGAAACCCAAAAAACCAGCACGGTTTGAGGAAAAACAAATTGGTTTGCTTTGAAAGAAAAGTCCTTTAAAACGGCAATAAGATGCTGCTCCGTCAAAGGGTCTTTAATATAAGTGTTACATAAAGCAACGATTTTACACGTATAATAGTTAACCCATGATGGACCTTTGGCCGACAGTGAAGGATCCGATCCTGGGCCATTAGACATCATACTCATACTAAAAATTAGCTTTAAATTTTAAATTTATCGACTGACATAAACCATTAAAATTTCATCAGTAGCCACTTGTTGATGTGGCCATCCTGCAATATGAAAAATACCACAATACACACACACACACACACACATACGTACGTACACCGTGTGATTGTGCAAAAAGATGATCAAACTATGAATTGTCTAGTAAGCAGCCTCACAGCAGGCCATGCATTAACAATCCTGTTTTTGCAATAAAAATCCAAGCTTTATAAAGCTTAACGTGGGGTTTTTGTAATAAAAATGATACTATTATCCTCTTTAATGGTATAGGGTTAGCGCTTTGAGTTCATCAAAAGGCCTTCAAGAGATTTTGGATTTTTTTTCCTCGTAGAGTTTTCTACGATCCTTTTCTTCGGGCTTCTTGTAGAGTATCAGGAACAATGATACGAAAACAATGGCAAATAGACATGAAAACACACTGGCGTAATAGGGATACGCGAGAACAAATTTCGTAGGATATTCATCATGTGCATAATGACGAAGGGTGATGGTCATAGACTCGTCAATTGAGCAATAGCCCTTTCTTAAATAGAATAGTCTAAGTGTGCTGATACCCGTTCTGTCTGGAATGATAGACGACCCATACAAAACAGCGTCGGTATCAGAAACAGAGGCAACAAGCTCCTGAATGCGAAGAGGATACGTTTGTATATTTTCATGGAGCGGAGAGAGCACCTTCCTGATATATGGCTTCATAACGACAAGCTCAAACTGCAGGTCGGTAGGAATGAATGGTTTCCATGATTTCTCGCCATCTGAATATTTACTAATCGTAGCCAGGATATGCTATGATGAAAGGAAACACAAACGGATACCATCGAGTCTAGCACCCTGAAGCTTTTATCTTGTGGACTTCCTGGAGTAGGAATTTCCGTGTCAGCGTATGCAAACAGAGACGATGCCTTTACCATGCCACGTTCCTTAAATGTCCATCTGGTGATACCAGAAATTGCTTCAAAATTTGCAGCCCTTTCACCACTACGACATAAAGGCAACAAAATACCTTTCAGAAAAATATTCGTCACACAGCATATGAAATGTGGGGATCACACATAGCCTGCCGTTGTACCTGGATTGAAAAAGAGCAATCAATGAAGTGATAGCCCCACAAGAAATTGGAGTGGCGTTTAACTCGTTTAAAATCAGAGATGTAGGTTCTGGAGTGATCAAGGACCACAGGTAATTTACACTCCTGTTACCGTCTAAAAGCAATCCGTGGGTTTGATTTGGATAAGTAAGAGCAGGTGTTACATTGCCTTCAAATACACCATCCATGAGCTCTTGATTCCATTGCCTAGACTCGTACCTTTCTGAGACAATTGGAAATTTGGTAAATGAAACGCCAAACTGGCTCAAGAACTCTTTAAAAAAAGAAGACGATGATGATTTGACATCTGGCATTGCTATTATTAACTGCCCGCCAATCGCAACAAAATGTGCCAATTCAACAGCGGACCAAGACGCGGAAATTTTTGACGCGCCGAGCAAAATGATCTTTGACACCATTTGAGGATCCAGCTTTTCGAGGTTGAAAAAGCTTCTTGAATTCGGAAATAGCGTGGGAATATTTGTGTCCAAGTGATCAAATATTTTTACGTTATTTGACATTTTGCCTCCAGACTCAATGTAAGTAATGTAATTTGAAAAGGAGGACGAAATTTTTTTCGGCACAACAATCCAAATCTCATCGTTTGCGCCGCTTACGAGCGCTAGCGAGGACCACAAGAGCAGCTGTACTAACACCCAAATCATTAATTGAAACAGGTAATCAATGCAAAATCAATCGATTACATTTTAAATTACACTAAATTTTAATTGCTGCACTGTGTGACGTTGATTTAGTGCATAACCAAGGCCAGCACACAAGCCAAATGAAGCGCTCTACGTGCACGGTTTCTTTTGCACAGCAATCAATGATATTTGCAAAGCAGGAATATTATAGGTCAACATAAGCTGTTACAAGACACTATTTGATGAGGAGCAACAATCCCTCGATCGGAGGATTAAGGCGGAAAACGCTAATGAATCTTCAGAGGGAATTCCAAAGATCGAAAGCACGGAATCTTCCTCTGGAATCCTGCCAAACATCAAATACAGGGGAAAAGATTCCTGGTCGACCTGCAGCGTTGGATCATTTAGAATGGTCATCATGTAATCCTCCCAATCGACGTTCCATTCGTCTTCGACCTTTGGGTTGGAACTTGCTAAACGATCGCCATGCTCTGTGCTAGGTGCGTCGCCATTGACAGGGTTTACGAATGGATCATGAGAAATTGCAAATAAACCTAGGCATGAGACGTTGTAACTTAACCAGAATCAGAGCTGATAGAGCCAAGAAATTTGACACGCGGGTCATTATCGACATCTAGAATGGAGATTGGCAAGCATACCTTTGATGCCGGATGTATCTCCGACAGCAAAAAAGGATTCATCACAAACGTCGCTATGGACCTCGTAATCTGTCGTCGCATCGGCAGCTCGTAACTTTTCGTACAAATCAGCGGAGATGTTTACAACGAAACGGTTGGGGAAACACCCCGCTTCACAATTAACTGCATTACGAACATCCTCAACACTGACCAATGAGGATGGATCTCCAACAACACAGGTTCTGTACGACTGCATGCGTATATGTCCGCGTATGGTATTGTAAATGGATGGCCTGCAAATCGATTTGAAAAACATTTTAATAAATTTTAGTAAATTGAAAGTTAATGAGCGAGGAGTATTGGACGCTAGATATTGAGCGTCCAGGGGATGCTATCTTCTATGGCAAGCTTAAATCGCTAGCGGACCATTCCTTTTCTCTCACGTTTGACGAAAGCGAAAATTTGATTCTGGAAACCTACGACATCCGATCTTCGAATTTACTTCACAAGACCACGTTTCATTACAATGAAAATTCACTTGGCGATCGTTTAATATTAAAGGACTGTCACCATGATCCGTCAGATGCGGAAAAAATGACGGATTTAGCTGCCCCATCTTCAAGTTGGTCCTTAAATGATCCTGAGCAGCAGGGCTTTGCGCTGGTTGGCATTTCCAGCAAAAACTATTATAGCTCAGTAAACCGGTGAGGAGCGACCGCAGGAAGCCACTCTGGTTCGACCACACAAACTCCACGCATAAAGGGCTTTGTTGTTTCGACGACTACAAATAAATTCAATATAATTCTCCAATGTACTCTCGTGAAAACAGATCATCTTGGGTCCCCGATGAAACAGGACACTCTCTGGATGGATAAACAAAGGGCTGTCATTGCTTGCTTGCAAATCGTGGGGTCTGTAAGGAATGTAAGAGCCGTCTTCTTGAGAAATTGCAAGGTTCTTTGAATAGTACGCTGAAAGAAGAGATTTCCTGATAACCAGCGAGGAAGCTCTTTGTTCCTTCGCCAAAGAACACATCGACTTTGGAGGATCACCCAAGAGTGATGATATGAAATACTTTGTTAAGTATGCCTTGATCTTAATTGCCTCACTCATGTTTTCATAGGAGAGTGAATATTTGTTCGCAAACCCAGCAGAACAGCTATTTTGCTGGAAAGAAAGGAAAACTAGGCGTTATACATACAAAAGGCAAACCGTTTAATAGAGTCAAATGATCGCCCTCATCAACGGCAAATTTCTTTACACACTCCTGCGTGATAAATACTTTCTAATGCACCGGATAAAGATACTGTAAACAACATACCATTATGCACATCATGGCGGCAATGGAGAGGAGCTCGTCAGAACAGTCAACAGAATGGGCATAAAATATCGCCTAG